CCCCCCCTTTTTTCTTACGTTTATTGTCCTCTTTCCAGTTTCATTCTTAAATACCCTAAGGATTATTTTCTTAGCTGGATATCTCACCAAGCTTCCTTTTAACTTGTTTTCTTTTCACTACTTCTTGCTGTCTTATGAAAGGATACTGTTCATAATCTTCCATCTTCCTCCCCTGCAAGATCTTACAATTCAATACAACAAATATCTGTTGAGCACCTACTCTATGAAAAGCATCACACTAGACTCTGGGGAGACAAAACCAAATATGAATGACTTTACACTCTAAATTGATATTGTTCTTGGGTTCCATATTTCTCTCCTCGGAATGAAATCAAGTGTTTTCTTGATAAGGAGGTTTTTAGGATTTTTGGTATCATTGTGATTGTTGGTTTACATTAGTTAAACTTCCTTAAGATATGTGAATAGTCCACGTAGATGTAAACATGTTCAAGTAAACAGTCCACATTGTTTTATCCATTTGCCATTTTTCAGTATCAACAAATTGTTTAAATACATCAAGTTGGAGTTGCTATAATTGATTGATATATCTTTGTCTCATTTTTATTCTTTCTTCTGTTTGATAGTGATTTTTATCATTCCTCTAATGAGCTACTGATTTGATTATATATAGATAGATAATTCAGAAATGACTACCACATTAGTAATCAGTCATTATAGCCCATGAAAATGTAATCATTTCCTTTTTATGCTGTTACTCGGCATTCATCATGTGCAGTGTCTCCCAATTCTCTTCTTGGAATATGCAATGCTTCTGTATAGTCTATAAGCTATTAGCTCTCTCATTTACTACTATTGAATCATGTTTTCCAATATATTTTTTCACTGTCTTCTCCTGTCCTCAGCTTTGCATTGACGTTATCAAGAATTAGAGTATATGTCGAATTTGGAATTATGGGGGAAAAGTTGCCAAAATATTCATATCCTTTTATACAACAATCCCAAGGAAGTAAAAAACAGAAACAAAGACTCCATACATATAAAAAATATTCATAGCAGCACATTTTGCGGTGCCAAAAAACTGTAAACAAAGTAGGTGTTTCTTGATTCTAAACTGTCTGAACAAATTGTGGTAGACAGATGCTGTGAAATGCTGTTGCACAATAAGAAATCATAAATATGAGGAACTCAGAAAAATTTGGGGAAATTTACAGAAAATTAAGCAAAATAGAGTAGAAAGAACCAGGATAACAATTTACCCAGTAGTTTTCCAAAACATGGTCTACAGATTCTTGGAGATCTCCAAGACTCAGGAAGTCTATGAGAACAAAACCATCTAAACTGTCATTTGCCTATTGAAACATTCTTCCCTTTTCTGATCACCTATCTGTGTAAGGCCAGATTTTCTTCATATTTTTTCAAACAAAACAGCATGTTGCAGCAGATTGAATGCAGAAGCAAATATAAGTATCTAGCTGTCTTCTGTTAAGCCAAACATTAAAGTGATTTGCAAAAAATAGTAAAACAATGCCACTGTCCTTACTAAATTGTTTTTGTTTTGGAAATTATGGTTATTTTTATTAAATATGTTATTTATGATAATATGTAATAGTTCGTTATTTTAAGTGAATTATTTCAAAATTTAGTTTAATTCTAATACTGTAAGTCTAGATAGATATAATCCACATAAATTAAAGCTCTTTCCGATCCTCAATAATTTATAAGAGTGTAAAACAGTCCTGAAGCCAAAAAGTTTGAGAACTGATGATTTGCACAGACTACAGTAATGAAAAAGAAAAAAGAATACTAAAATAATAATAGCAAACATTTATATGGAGTTTTTAGTTTTGCAAAGCATATAACAAATAGTATCTCATCTGATCCTCACAAAAACCTTGGAGGGTAGGTACTATTATTATCCTCATTTTACAGATGAGGAAACTGAGATAGACAGAGGTTTTAAGTGACTTGCCCAGAGTTACACAGATGATAGGTGCCTGAAGAAGGATCTAGCATTTAGCACTTTAGGATGTGCAAAGAGCTTTACATATGATATCTCACTTGGTCTTCACAACAACCCTGTAAGGTAGGTGCCATTATTATCCCCATTTTACAGATGAGGAAACTGGGGCCGAGTGAGATTAATTCCCTAGCCTAATGTCTGAGATAAAATTCGAACTCAGGTCTTCCTAATTCCAAGTCCAGTGTTCCATCCACTAACCCCCCTGGCTGCTTCTTGATTGATTTTGCTTAACTGTGTTTCTTTATTACAATGGAGGGCTCAATGTCAGAGGGTGGGGATGATATATTGGGCAGTGACTGTGGCATAAAAAAACAAAACTTTAGAAAATAAAGCATATTTAGACTTAATTTGGATGTTATTAATCATGTTCGTCATAGACCTCTACTTGCCAAATGTAGTTCTCCACTGGCATAACCTGAGAGAACCCTGGGCTACCTCTATACCATTATGTGGCTTTGAAGTAGGACTTTGTTCTATCAAATTGAAGGTTATAATTGTTCAATTTGACTTATCTTCTATCTTACTCTATTGAATTACTCATTTTTGAGAAAACAGAACATGATCTTTCTTATTTCACAAAAACCAATGCTTCCCAACCTTAATACATACATTCACAACACAAAAAAAGTTCCTATATTTTGTACAATTATAAGTTGCAAAACTATGTTTTGCAAAAACTATTTCTTCATTATTCCCCCATACCTTGTTTGTTACAGGACTGTCATTCTGGCATTGCTTTCTATCCCTTTTCCCTTATTAACCTGCTCTTTTTTCTCTATCATTTGAAAATTCAGTCATACCCAAAACCATCTTATTCCTCTGCTCCTTTTTCCCCTATTTTTCCCCTCTCAAACCCATTTGTCACTTGGTTGTTAACCAAAATAATACTACTGTGGTTTTTCATTTCCACATGGTAACAGAGGGAAATGTTAACATTATCAATATTGACATAGCAATTAGTTGTAACTAGTGTAATCACATTTGTAAATTACCCATTAAGTTTTTGTGATTCATTTCTAATTCTGTAGTTTTGTTGGTTTTTAATGTCAAAAGCTGATCTAAGTTTGTGCAATCTCCATCATAAATTCATAAAATTCATGTAGACTTAAAATGACCATCTTTTGTCTCTTCCAAGAATCCTTAGCTTTTCAGGGAAATTTATTTGGGGATGAAGTCCTATTTTGGAATATGATATTCAAGATTCTTTTGTATTTGTATTTCTTGTTTTTCTTGACTTGATAACTTTGAGGAAAATATTTTGCAATATGAATTGGTGATTTCAGATACATAATGTCTCTTTTTCTTGACCATTTATAATATTGTCTCCTTGTCATTATAAGCTTGAAGCTTGGATTTTCGGGTTCACCCTTGTTGGCATGTTGTAAATTCTTTTGACTTGAAATTTGTACTTTTTAAATATTTATGGGAAACTTTCTTATATGATTTCCTGAAATATAGTGACAAGTCAGTCTCTTCTTCACAGTTTTGGGGAAGACCAATAGTTCTTAAATATTCTCCTTTTTCACTCTATTCTACAGATGTCACTTTTGTCTGCATTGTTTCCAAATCCTTTTCCATCATTTTCTGAGCTCTTTTATTTTGTTTCATCTGCTATTTCATTCATTCTGACCTCGAATTAAATAATTGTATTTTTCATTGAGCCTGTTGCTTTGCTTACATTTGCAAACTGAACTTTTTCATTATGTTGTCTCAAGATTCTTTGGTACACTGGAAAAGAGGTTGTATTTAGTTGATTCAACATCCAGTCCTGATTCAAATTCCCAGACTGCCCCTTTGCTACTTGTGTGAGCTTGGGCGAGTCACTTAACCTCTCTTGGCCTTGGTTTCCCTCTGGGCCTTAGTTTCCTTGCATGTAAAATGAGGGGTTTGGGCTAGATGGAAGCAAAGGTCTTAATTTTAGAGCTAAAAGTATAGATCTAAATTTATGCTCTGATAGTTCTTTTTATCCAATTTTGTTATATTTTTGCTAATTTCATTTATACATTAACTCCTTCACTGTCTACCAGGGATGGGGAACCTGTGGCCTCGAGGCCACATGTGTCCCTAAAGGTCCTCAAGTGCGACCGTTTGACTGAAGGATTCAAAAGGGCCACACTTAAGGACCTAGCTAGTAAAGGCATTCTGGAAGGTGAGCAGAGACCAACTGGTAGTAAGACATCATTGGGAAGTGGGGACCACGAGGTAAGTGTATATTGTTTGGAATGACTTCTAATCAAAATAGGAAAGATGCCAGGAGGCTGTGATGGCCAGGCTTCCCCATGGGGAGAAAGGAGATAATGTTGATTAGGAAGAGTAAACCTGACAAGTCAATATGTTAGTCACATAGTAATTTAAATAGTTAATTAGTTCATTAGTTCATTTACATAGTCATAACTTTTCAGCACTATGATTTCTTGTATTCTGTTTTTTGGCATGTTCTGAAGTTCACTCTTCCCTTGCAAATCAAGCCTTCCTCATTTTATTCCCAGTGGCGTTGGGGGGATGGTTGGGGGGATGGAGAGGGGAGAGAAGGAAAAGGAGATCTCCGCTAGAACTAGAAACAAAGTACAGGAAACGGTTGAGTGCAAGGTGGAGCTTTTAGCCAAGACTGGTTAAATTATTTGGCCTATAGAGTGAAGGACTAAGAGTCCCCCAAGTTCGACTGTGCATGGTGACTTGGGGACCTAAGGAAGCTGTGGTTATATTCTACATGGAGCTGGCTATCGCTAGGGTCCTTCCACAGTCCATTGAGATGTTTGGGGTAACTGTTCTTGTTAAGGGATGTGACAGATTGGTGCCTAGCAATCTGGGAAGGAGTGGGGATAGAGTGGGGGGAGTCTACCTTTCAAGCTCTTTTGTCCTTAGTGGAATGAAGTAGTCTGGACCCTCACTTCTGGACACTCATCCTGAGAAGAGGCCCAATCACCTCAAAGGAGCTTGTATGACCTTGTCCTAACAATATTGAGACCCTGAAAGGCACAAAGGGATTACTCAAGGCAATGTTTGCAAATTTATTTACCTGGTAACTGCCAGCCTATGGTTTTTCACCAACATTGTAGCATCGGGCTTCTTGGGGTCAGAGCCTGGCCGGACATCAAAAACTTCAAAGTCAAAAGAATAGAAGAACTGCCCTGCAAAGTTCCATCACAGGTTATGGTTAACATTTGTGATTTCTGAAAGATGAGAGACTGAGGCATCCAGCAAAGAGCTTTGGCATAGAATGGGTGCTTAATAAATGTTTGCTGAAGGAAGAAAGGGAAGAATAAGGAAAACTTACCTTCTGGATGTAAGTCCATAGACCATCAAATTTAGTCTAGACCAGAGGGTCTCTGGTTTTTCACAGGAAGACCTACTCCAGGAGAACCCTAGACCCCGTGGGGCCTCTTACTCCTACACTTCAAATCATCATGGCAAAGGGTGAGCCCTAGTGCTGAGTGGGTAAAATAAGGTTGCTTTGGGTGACACATGACACATGAGCAGAAGAAAATTGTTCATTGAATGGAATGGGGTTTTGCTATCAATTTAACTGCTTGGTAATTTGTGCCTATCCCATAATAACTTTTCCAAGCTATCTGATTTTGATGAATTTTGGAACATAAAATAGCATCAAAATACATCTTATCATTAATTTGTAGTTCAGTCCACCATCTTGAAATAAAATCACAGCCAACGAGACTCCTGAAATAATCATATCTTATTTTTAATGGGCTCTAGTGACCCTTGGCCTATGGAAAAAAGTTATGGAGACATAAGGTTGTATTGACCAAAGTTTTTAGGCCACAGAATCTTTACATAATTTATGCCAGAAAAAAATTTTTAGCCAGCATTGTGCTATATACATTAACATTCCTGGAGAAACCATATGGACCATTAACTGTCATGCTTTGGAAGTGACTGGCCCATACAGTCTCACACTGCTGACACCTCCCCTAACTGTTATCTGTCCTTCACTTTAGGTCTAGCTGGGCTATAGGTTTTGCCCAGAATTAGAAGTTCAGTAAATAAGGTGCTGTTTTTCAATGTTGAGCATAAAGTTCAGAGGGCTTCAAAGGTCCTCTGTATGATGATATTAATAATTTGTTATGGGGTCAGCCACGTCCCAGGAAACACAGGAATTTTCTGCAGGTAATAAGAGTGAGAGGTTCAGGCCCTATAGTTTTTGGAATTCCAGTGGCTGCTATACGATTTGCCCTCAGAGAAGCCCCTTCTCATCCACATCCCAAGAAAGACAAAACCAGAGTGGCCTGGAATCCTACCCAGCAACCCATGTGTCCGTGGTGACATCTTGTGGCTGTCCACTGTATATAGCCCAAGGAAATCTTGGTGGACGGGATGCTTTTTCCACACGTGGTGCAAGACGACAACTATGGTGGCTGCATCGTCCATGGAAACCATCAGTTTTCGAGTCGGGATGATTGTCACTGTCACCCTACGGTGGAAAGAGCCTTACATTTGAAGCCAGAAAATCTGGATTGAAATCCCAACTCTACCACTTGGTGCCTATATGACCTTGGACAAACTATTGAACCTCTTTAGTGCCTGGTTCCCACATCCCATGCGGGACTTGGACCAGTTCACGTCTCTCATCTTGTGATTCCTGCTGGGGTCATGGATGGATCTGTGGGTCACAAAACCTCCAAAATGTTCTTGAGACTATTATGTGTATAAACTTGTGCACACATCATTCCTAGCTCTCCAATTAGACTGAAAACCCCTTGAAGGCAGGGACTGAGCCCTCTATTTGTGTTGCCTCCCTTGTGCCTAATGCTAAGGTCAGTAGAGTGAACACTTGGCTTTTGTATTCTGGGGAAGAAGGATGCAGACAGTGTGTCCAATGCCTGGAGACAATCTTATGCCCTGTTCTTTAAATGAACTAGGGCTACCTTACCCTTCCTGCCTCAGTGTGACTTGGTCCAGCCAAGAAAATACAGGTCCCTTCATGCCAGAATGAAGGGTGATGTTCTGAGGTGTCACCTCCAATGTAAATCCCGTCTTCTGGTTCATAATCCCGAGCCTTCCAAAATAAGTGTTTTTGTTCTTCCCATTGCCATGATTTTTATCACCAATGAGCTGCCCATTCACTGTGATCCCTGGGGAAAAAAGAGTATAGAGTTTCCAATGAGCTGCAAGGTCTCCTTACTACTTGCCTCCCACACATTTCCCTTCCCCAAGTACCACAAAGTTATGCGACCCCACCCTCAGCCCCAGGCCCACATCAGCCCCAACCTGTGTCTGGATCTTGGATGAGTCTCATCACCACACCAGGCTCCTCATTGATATTGAAACAGACAGCATCATCTTTCTCAGGCACCTGGATGATGAAGTGTGGGTCTCCATCCACTGTAGGCAGAGATATAACTAGGAATTCTGGTATCTAAAGCAAATTTTTTGGAGGGTGGGCAAGGGAAAGAGGACAGTCTGGCCTGTTTGGGCACCATTTTGCTAGAAGAGGAAGTCATTTAGAGTGCAGCTCTATTCCCAATCTCTTCTGCATGGTTTCTAGCCCCACCCCTATAAGAAGAGTCAGACAGGGAGCTAGCAGGCAGAAGCACAATGACAGAATATGCCTGGGAACGATGTGAAGGAATGCCCCACGTAAAACAAGTTGGATACGAAAACAGTCACAAATCTGGAATTCTCTGAGATGGACACGAACTCTGAATCCTTTGTTCTCACTCCCTTCAGCATCTCTGGGCTGCTATTCCACCCACAGCTTTCTGTCCAGCAGCACCCAGAAATAAGGTACTTGGAAGGTACTTGGTACTTGTGGAGAAGGCTGACCATGAGAGCAAGAGCTGAAAGAAGGTGAGCCAGTGTGCAAGGAGGGGAGCCAAGGCAAGCCAAGACCAATCCTGTATACGGGGCCCACAGTAGATAGCTAAGACTTCTTATAATGGCAGAATTTTACCCTTTTCCCTTTTGTTTGAAATTCCCATTTTTCTCTGTGGCCACCAGCCGCAAAAGGCCTTAGAAAACTTAAAGAGCCATCTATTTTTATGACTTGAGCAAGGAATTATGCACCTCTTTCTGAATAATAGCTAGTATTTATATAGCTCTTTGAGGTGTGTATATGTGTGTGTATGTGTGTATGTATGTTTTGTGTATATATGGTATATGTAAATTCACTTACACAATTATTATCTCCTTTGATCTTTACAACAACCCTGTGAAGAGAATGCTATCTATTATCATTCCTATTTTACAGATGAGGAAATTGAGGCTAGGAAAGGTTAAGTGACTTTGCCAGTTACTAAGCATCTGTGGTAGTACCTGAATTCAGATCTTCCTGATTTCAAGTCCAAGATTCTATTGACTATCCCACATAGCTGACTCTCAGGAGAAAGCAACTGTTAAGGGAAAGCTAGATAAGAAGTACCCTTGAAGAAAGAGGCAGCCCAGAGAGGGTAACCCACCGTGTTCTGGGCATCAGGAGCCCTGGTTCTGGTCCCAGCTCTGTCACTTTCTGACTAGTTGCCCTTGTCTGAGTCTCTGTCTTAGTGTTTGTTTCCATGGATTTCACACAAGCACAATACTTTTTGTGGCACTCATAGGGGCCTAAAGAAAAGGCCACAAAAGCCTGAGAGAGCCATGAAATGACCTGGAAAGGAGGGTCTGGGCCTTGTGTCAGTGGGCTTGCCACAGGTAACTGAGCCCACCGACCCGGAGGGGCTTCAGAAGTGCTACGTCTTGAGGATGGGAAAGATGAGTAGCTAGAGCCTGGGAAGCCTGGGATGCCAGGTGGAAGGTGTCCAAGCCTCCCTGGGACCCTTCTTTGAACTTGTTCCCTATCTGAGCAATTTTCCTCAGAACTTGTCACAGAGTACGAATGGCCTTACCACCGGTCACATGAGCTGGAGGACCCTGAGGACCAGCAGGAACCCGAGACGCAGGAGGTTGCTGTTGAGCTGGAAGCACCATTGCTGTCCAGGAAAAATCAATCAACCAATCAATCAATACATATTTATTATGTACTTACTGTGTGTCAGTCACTGTGCTAAGTGTCGGGGGATAAAAACATGTTTTGAAAACTGGTGGTCATGCACTGTTGGTGGAATTATGTCCTGGTACAGCCATTCTGGAAAGCAACTTGGAATGATGCCCCAGAAGTGACTACACCGTGTATAACATTTTACCCAGCAATACCAGGCTTATACTCCGTCAAAGAAATCAAAGAAAGAAGGTAAGAACCCATATGTACAAAAATATTTACATATTATATCTTTTTATCAATATATATCTTTTTTGTAACAACAAAAGACTAGATGGGAAGAGAGTGTCCTTTAGTTGAGGAGTGGCTGAATAAAATATGGCGTATGTGTAATTACCATGAATCTAATGGAATATCATTGTGCCATAAGAAATGATTAAACGGATGGCGTCAGACCAACCCAGAAGGCTTATATGAACTAATGCAGAGCAAAGTGAGCAGAACAAGGAGAACAATTTATACAATAACAACACTGTAGGAAATAAGCCACCTTTAAAGTCATAATTCAGCATAATTCAATGACCTACCATGATTCCAGAGGACCCATCTCCTGACAGAGAGGTGGCAGATATAGGGTGCAGAAGAAAACATATATTTGATGAATGTGGCCAATGGGGCAATTAGTTTTGCCTGACTACGCACATTTATTACAATGTATAGATTGCCTAACCCAGCCAGCCCTTGAGAGGGAGGACTTCCTCCCACACAAATATCAGGGCACAATGACTTTTTTGGAAGAAACCCTATGTTTTGACAACCCTAGAGAAATGTTCTTCTCTTTTTCCACTATCAGGGACCTTCTTGGGGGCATGTTTAGGAAAAGAGTGTCCCTACAATGCCCCTGGGGAAGTGATACTTAGAGGTGCCCACTACTTGACTGACTCTGATGACCCCTGAAACAATGTCTGTCTTTGATGTCTGGGAACCAAAAACCCAAACTAGGGAAAAGGCAGCACCCTGACTACTTCTATGGCATTAATGGCATCTGCGCTGGATCCCCCTGTAGGTTGCAGAAGGAGCTAGGGAGAAGGCATAGGGAGACTCTGTATAGATGGCAGAGGTTATTCCATGGAGAGATCAGTACTTACTCCTTCTCGGCTTTTTCTGCACTGTGGATAAAACAAAACAGAATGCACATGTCACCAAAGTCTTCCAGGGGGAAAGAGCATGCTCCTGTCCCCTGCCATGTGTGACCAATGAGGCAAAGGGCCTTCAAAAATCTGAGCCAGGTGTAACACAAAACCTCATTGGGGGAAGAGGCCCAGCTGGTCCTTGGGATCTGTGGAAGTGGGCAGTGCTATGTGTGAAGATCTGAGAGGCCATGGCTAGGAAGCCAAGTCTTCACTGCCAATACTGCACCTCTCCAGAACCCACCGTCACAACAAAAGAGGCATTTCTGAATTACTGAGGCATCAGAGTGTGGTGATAAGAGCCTGAGTTGTGAATCAGAGCACCTGTGTTCTAGTCCTGATCTTCTCACTAAGTCTGTATATAACCTTGGGCAAATAAATGATGTCATCCCTCTGGGCCTCAGTTTCCTTACCTGTAAAATAAGGATGTTCAGTCATTTCAGTCATGTTTGACTCTTTGTGACTCCATTTGGGATTTTCTTGGCAAAGATACTGGAGTAGTTTGCCATTTCCTTCTCCAATTCATTTTACAGATGAGGAACTGAGGCAAACAGGGTTAAATGACTTGCTCAGGGTCACACAGCTTGTGTCTGAGGCCACATGTGAACTCAGGTTTTCCCAACTCCAAACCCAGCACTCTATCCACTACGCCACCTACCTGCCCCCCAAATAATAATAATAATAATAATAATGCCTAATTAACTTACCTCACAAGGGTATGGTGAGGGCAAAATCATATAATGGATGTGAACATGCTTGGAGAGGCATGAAATAGTGCATATATGCAAGGAATTAATATGATTTTCATCGTAATTATTAACAAGGGATCCCAGAGCCTAGGTGAATGAGAAAGGATGGAGCTTGCAGAAGTATGGGAAGATCCTGATGATGAACTAGGAAACACACAAGATCCGGGCTTGAAAAGAAGAAAAGAAACCATGGAAGTGCATGGAAATATTCCTACTGATAACTTGTGAAGGCTCAGCACTGAGACAAATCATCCCCCAAACTCCGATTCATATCCCATGCACAGTTGTGAGGGGAAGAAAGATAATCTTGTGCAAAGAGAGTTTGTGTGTCAGTTTATTTGGAAGCCAAGAGCTTAGTGGCACAGCACTCCCCTAGAAAGCAGGCACCCATCAATTGTTTCTCAAGCTGGAGAAGCTATACATGGTTTATTCCCATAAAAAACACCCCCAAAAGAATCATGCCATTGGGAACTTACATTCAGCCATCTCTGGGGAGAGAAAAGCAAGCATTTAAGACAATGAGTAAAGTTTAAGTAAATTTGCTTCTCTGCAAGCTAGCAAGCAGAGAAGAGGTGTCTCCTGAGAGACACCTCATATGGGTCAAGCTGCGTTTGGACCAGCAGCAGGGCCAACTTGCTGAGCGCCCTTTGAGAGCTGCCTCAACCCATAGACTGAAGAAACCTCCATACCTTCTTCTCCCGGCTTATCAGCAATGGCAAGCTGGTCATCAGGGTCTCCTGGCTTGGTGATGACCATGGAGGTCAGAGGGGTCACAAATTTGTATTTCAGAGACAACTCCAGGGCTTTGGCAGACAGGTCATTCACCTCCTTCTCACTGTTTGCTTTTGTCCTGAGAGATAACACCAGGTCTGAGCTCTGTGTCAGGGGTCCCAGGACTTCCTGACCCAGGGGGGTAGAGAGGTATGGATTTCTCATTGAGAAAACTATAACTAGCATGCTGTCTGGCACTGGGGAGGTGGGGAAGCAAAAGGAATAAGTATTTATATGCTGAGCACTTTACAATTATCATCTCATTCGATTCTGACAACCCTGCAAGATAGGTGCTATCACTATCTTCATGTTACAGCTGAGGAAACTGAGGCAAATAGAGGTTAAGTGACTTGCCCAGGGTCACACAGGTAGTAAATGTCTGAAGCTGGATTTGAACTCAGATCTTCCTGACTGCAAACCCAGTGCTCTGTCCACTGAACCACCTAGCTGCCTCGTTAATAAGATGCTTAATAAGTAACTGTTGAACAAATAAATGAATGCTGTAAACTTGGGATAGTAGTTCTTGATTCCAAGACAAATACTAGTAAATCTCATGGAGTGCTTTTTTTTTTAAATCATCATTCAGTTACTTCCGTAGTGTATTATTCCCCTTACAGAAGAATTTATGACAATTTAAAATCTCAGACTATCACCTAAAATATTCTGAACTATCTTCCCCCAGTTCTCTCTGATGGGATGCTCAGGAGACAAAAGCTAATTTTAACATTTTTTTAAACAATGATAGGTACTCAATGATTATAGTTGATTAATGGATTAATATTAACTTATTGAACAAAACACCATGGTGAAAGTTAAGTCTCTTAAAAAGAAGTAAAAAGAAAACATGGCAGATATCCTGGATCCCAATGGAAAAGATATTTGGGTTATCTGTGTTATTGCTCTACTCTGTGGAGAATCAGGAGTGGACTGTAGCTGTTACCGTTTTTCTAGCAACTGTTGGATGGTGAGGTAAGCCCAGAGCCTTTCAATGTGTTGCTCAAACATGTGACCCCGCTCACGGAGAATTTTCTCCATCTCTTCTTCATCGACTGAGCACGTTGTTACCAGATCCTGGCCTGCCTATGGATTGTGGGGATGAAAAAAATGCACCGGATGAGGTCTGGGGACAATGTGGTCATAGCCTGGCCTAGCCCTTGAACTCAAGTCAAATCTTTTTTTTTTTTTACACAAAGTATTTTTAATGTTTACTTACTTTTCTCTTTCACATTATTTTATGTGGCTCATTACTAACAACCCAGCACATCTCACAATTCAGTAGTTACAGAGTAACACAATATTCATAAGTAATGTCTTAATACTACCATAATGTTTTTGCAAAAGCTTACAAATTATTATTATTATTATTTGTTATTATTATTTTGCTTACCAAATCTTGAAGATAGCTAGTGAGCCCCTTTCAATCTATTTTACTAAAAAGGCCAAGTGAAAAGTTTAGTAAAATGAAAAATATTGGCTTCCAACAGCAAACATGATAGGCTTCCAATAAAAATCATTTCTCTATTTTCCTTAGGGTTTCCAATAGGGAGAGGGAGAAAAAATTGTTATCTGATAGTTTATTGTACCTATATATACACATCAATAGAAGAGCTTACACTACTTGGAAAAATCTATAAAATTGCATAACAGCACCTTGTCATTGTCTGTTAAATATGCATTTCTAGCTAAGACCATTGTAGTCCATTAAATCAGTTTAAATTAAAGAACCTGGCAAAGTGCCAAAAAGGTGAGACGCAAGAAGAAAGCTCCTTTCCTATCAAGTGATTTATAATGACAGAGACACAAACAGTATTTTCACTGACAAGGCAAATTTGCTATGAGCTCTCTCCAGAAAGCCAGGCCAAAACAAACCTCTTATTCAACCTCGTTTGCTGTTTTTAGCTCCAGGCCTTCCAACTCAGCAATGGATGGAGAACTTGGAAGACCCAGATTCTAACCCTTTCAAGTCAAGTCTTTTTGCAAAACCAAATTCCTTTCCCCAGCACATAAGGCTCTCTACAATAAGAAGAGCTAGCACCTCACAGCTTACACCACAACAGCCCTACGAGGGAGACAGCACAAGTATCATCATCTCCATTTTAAAGATGAAGAAGCTGAGACTCAGCTTGGTTCAGTGACTCGCTGGCAGTCACACAAGTGGCAGAGGTGAGATTCAAAGGGCTCTCTCCATTACACCACGTGGCAGCTGGCTTTGCTCTACCTTTCCAAACCTATCTCCCTATGCTCCAGAGGGAAAACCATAACCTCCACTCCAGCAAAACCAAATTCTTCACTGATCGCCAAATGGGATATGGGTTACTGCTTCCATGTCTTGTTGGTACTATTCGCTTTTTCTGGGATGCCTTATCAAAGCCTGTCTAAATCCTACCAAGAAGGTCCAATTCCATGTCTATGCCTTCTGTACAGCCTTTCTTGACCACCCCCGTTTGTAAAGACCTCTCCCTCCTCTGAATGCACGGCATAGTACTCACCATAGGCAGCACTTACCTGCCCATTAGCCATCTAAATACTTTTGGGTAGCCCTTGCACTGTTATTTAACTTTCTGTGTACGTACATCTTGAATCTCCAATAAGAGGATAAGCTCCTTGAAGGCAGGAACCGCATCCTATCCCTCTTCACATCCACCACCACCAAGTCAGTAAGCATTTGTTAAGCACTTATTTGGTGCCAGGCACTAACACCTTCTAAGTGCTCAGGGCTCAGCGAATGAAGGAATGAAGTTAGATGAATGAAGCTCACTTTTTTCCCACAACGTTAAAAGTGAACCAGGGAAAAGATTCGGGTCCTCTCCTTTCCCTTCCAGGTACAATACTGTATTTGGGAGACGTAGGGAAGCTGTTATTCTTTTCCACAGCAGATGTGCTTATGTTAGTTTTTTCTCTTACTACTAGTCAGCCAGCGTTTAGAGGGCGCTAGGGTCTCTGAAGGCCCTTCTATCTCTAAACATATTATCCCATGACTTGGGCTTTTCTCTGGGGCCTGAAATTTATAGGGCACTTAGAGCATCAGCAGGAGAGAGACAGCTGAGCTTGACACAAGTAGCAAGAGTAATTAGTTAAATTGGGAGGCTAGCAGATGGTCCCTTTCCAGGGATTTTCTCCCTAGCGCAACCTGACCTGCTCTGCCTCTCCCAGCATCAGTCTCACACTGCCCCAGGGGTTCTCTCTCTACAGAATGAAGGTGACTTAAAAAGTTAATTTGAGGGGATTTTTTTTGTGCTGCTTGGCCCAGACACAAAAAGTGCTAGCTTTGCTATGTGGAGTGCTTACTCCAGCCAGAGCATGGCTGGGGGTGGATTCTGAGTGCCTGGGATCCTTGGGAAGAGAAATGTGGCTCAGCTACCTTCCAGGGAGAGGGTTGGGGAAGGAGTAGCCCCTGTGTGGGTTTCATACTTTGCAGGCTGAATCACTCCTGAAGCTGAGGAAAAGAGAGGATGCACAGAGGAAGCACTGGGTCCAGAGTCGGTAAAACCTGGTTTCCAATCCTGTCTCAGACACTTATTAGCCCTGTGACCCTGAGCAAGTCTCTTCACTGCTGTCTGCCTCAGTTTCCTCATCTGCAAAACAAAGGAGTTGGACTTGGTGTCTCTAAGGTCCTTTCCATCTCTAAATCTGTTCTTTGGCTACTCACGCCACGGCCGGTCACGTCGGATTTAAAGCCTTTCTTTCCACCATCAGTGAGCTGTCCAGCTACCACAATTTCAGAGCCATCATAGAATTGCTTGACCCGATTCTCTGTCAGGGCTTGGATGGAAGCCTTGGGATACTGGAATTCCACATCTTTGAGCAGGGGGTTGGCAACTTCCTCATAAAAGCCCTGTAGGAGACACAAGAAGCTGCTCTGGAGAAAAGGCCTCATGCAATTGAGCTCATCTCTCCCTACTCCTCAGACCTTTTTCAAGTTTCTGAATGGAGGGAAAAATGGTGTTCTGAACCACAAGAAAATCTAGGCATTTGTCTGTGTTCCTGCAAGGCTGGAGGATCGACATTCAGAGGATTTTTTGCAGGAGGAATGTTTCTAGGCTCACCACAGTGATTTGTAATGGAGTTCAGGGACACAGAATGTTAGAACTGAAAGTGACCAACCTTTCATTTTTACTAAGAAGGAAACTGAGGGTCAGAGATGAAGTCGCTTTCCCAGGATCACAGAGTGAATTAGTGACAGATCCAGCCCTACACAGACATAGGAGAGAATGCACGAACCATCTGCCTGTTTTCCCTCTTGCTTGATCCGACCTAGTTGTTTCTATGAAGGGGGCTACTTCTCACAGCAATGAAACATCTTGTTTCAGTTGTGTCACTGTCTCAATATATGACCTCACTCAAGTCCGTTCTCTTCAGCCTCAGTTTCCTTCTCTGTAATATGAGATGATTGGACCAGATGATCTCTAAGGTCCCTGCCTCATTCTCACATTCTGTGATGCTTTGTTTCTCTGTTTTTCCTGGCACAAGGACAACACACATTGCCTGTGACCAGGAGTACCCAGCTTTGGAAGACCCAGAGATCACATACCTGTAACTGCTCGGTCGCATCATTATCTCTGTAAATTCTGCGGGCTGCCCCATCATTCTCCAGAGACATTGCCTCCAAGAAATTAAAGTCAACATTTTCTCCAAAGCCCAGATTGTAGAGTGGAAACTTCCCTTGCACGGCATTCTTGACATTCATTCGGATTTGGGTAAGATTAGTCTCCCCTTTATTTAAACATAAAAATTGGCAAAGTCATAACACTCCCCTCAAGTGGGGGCTCTCTACTCCTATCTCCTCCTCTTAACTCCTAGGTTTTACCCTGCTGGTCTGCCTCAGTTTCCTTATCTGTAAAATGGGCATAGCATCCACCTCCCAGGGTTGTTGTGAAGATGAGAAAATATTTGTAAAGCACTTTGCAAACCTTAAAATGCTATATAAATGCTGGTTATTATTATCATTATCATCCTCATCATCATCATCAGTCACTAAACAGCAAGCTCCTATGGGTACAGACCAGGGTTCACTTATCTGTCTCCCCAACCCAATAGCAAGGTCCCTAGCCTTGCACCCAGAAGCTGCTCAGCGTTTGTTAAGTGGATTTCCCAAATTGCCTTGCCTGATTTATGAGGCCTTTGGGGACTTACCCACAGTAGGTTCACCATCTGTCAACATGATGACGATGGGAGCGTTATTTCTGAGCCTGGGGTCAACTTCATGAGCCTTATTCAGGATATTAATTCCTTCTAGCAAGCCACCATTCAGATTTGTTGCTGCATTGGAGGTAAACAGGCATAGTTTGGAAAAGAGGCCAAGTTGGTTGTTTTGTTTCAAGGAGAAAAGGATGAAAATAACTGAGTTTCATGTGGTACAGGGAGCAAAGCAAGACAAAGCCCCACCAGCATTTACCGCCTGCAAGATTGAAGGTTTGCACAAAGACTCTGGCTTCCTGCAAATTGGCAGCTGTGGCCTGGATGAGGGAACTTTTCCATGCTCTTACTTGGCCCCCGAAAAGGATGAAATTGAAGTAATCATCTGGCTTGATGTCATCCAGGATCTTAAGGAGAGCCTGCTTCGTCTGGAAGAAAGAACCGAGTTTATCAGAAGACAGGACGACACTTGAGAGGACAGCAAAGGCTGGTGGAGGGATCTTGGTGAGTGGAGTGCCAGAGTGACCTTGAGGAAGCACCACTGAGCAGCAGCACCTCCCTTCAGTCCCAGACAATGGAAGTCATGCCCATCACCCCCAGCCGGGGGCAGATGAACAGGGAGGTTGGATGGACCGGGTCACTGAATGATGAGGATGGAATGGAAGATGGGTTGAATGAAGGAAAGAGAGCTGAGAAGCTCCTAAGGGAGCAAAAGTCTGCTGGGTGGAGTTAAGGGGGATAGTGAGAAAAATCATAAAAAGCCATGTTTAGAAGAATGAAGAGGTCTTGCTGCCCAATATGAATGGGAGCCCTGGGGCAGGTTAGGGTTTAAGTATAAGACATACATTGACCTCTGTTTCCCCAGACATAGATGAAAATGTCACAGAGTGGCAATATGGCATAGGAGAGGCTGGCCTTAGAACCTGGGTTCAGCTCCTGCCTTTAAAACTAGCTATGTTCTCAATGCAACTCCAAGACCGTACAGTTGCATCCATAGAGGGAAATTCCATACGGCCAGTTCCCAATCTGTCCAGACTTCCCCAAAATGATAATTTTACCCTAACCCTCCCACCTGGAAGTTCTCTCTCTATCTGATGCAATAATAATTATAGGGGGCATTTATTTAGCACTTTAGGATTTATAAAGTGCTGTACAGATATTATCTCATTTGACCCGCCCAATGATACTGAGAGGGTGGTGCTATGATTATACTCATTTTATAGATGAGGAAACTGAGAGAGGTTAAGTAATAAAGGGTCACATGGCTAAAGTCAGTGTCTGAAGCAGAATTTGAACTCAGGTCTTCCTAATTTCGCGTCCAACATTCTCTCCACTGTGCCACCTATGATCTCAGCCATCTACCTCAATGATCTCAGCATTTTGCATCCCCCTTACGGAGTTATCATATTCTAACTTGTATAAAATTTATCTGTATGTTTATCTTATTTGTCCCTACTCAATAGCAGATTCTGTTAAGGGAGGTATGATGTCTTATTGGTCTTTCTGTTGCCTTGTACCTGTCTAACATATGTCAGATTCTAAGAGTGCTTGCTATCTCTACTACCATGGCATCCCTGTGAGGTAAGTGGGGCAGTCATTATTATTACTATTTTCAGATGAAGAAACAGAGGCACAGAGGTGTTGTAAAAGTTCCCTAAGTCATGCAGCTGGTTAGTGGATGAAAACCCATCTCTTGACCATCAGATTCATGTCTTTTCCAATATACCACTCTGGTTTTGAATAGGGATGTAAACTCAACAGGGTTGGAGAACCCTGCCTTTCAAGAAAAACCCAGAGTAGATAGATTAAAAAGTTGGTCTGGTTACTTAGAATTTCTGGTGTGTGGGTCAAGGTTAATTGATGAAACTTTTCAATTTTGCAAAGCCTGTCACTTACCTGCTTTATTTTCTGACCAGCCATAGATCCACTAATGTCTATCACAAAAACTACATTCTTGACCATGTTCTTCAGGTTTTTTGGTGCAAAGAATTGTGCAAAATATTTATTGACCACCTGAATCAAGAGAGAGAGAAGCTAAGGAATTCATTTCACACACCCATCTGTTTGTTAGCTCATATCCTAAATGGGAACCTACCTGCAGGTCACAGACTGAGTCTCTTTTCACGTCGTATTTTATTGTAAAATCTCCATCCAGCAAGGATTTGGTGCAAGTGGGGCAGGTCTGTTGTTGATCAATTGTAGGATTAAAATATACACGACCCTGAAATCATTCAATTCAAAAATCCTTTATTTAACCATTATTATCAGCTAGAATTTTTGCTATGCCCCTAAAGGAAACAAGAGGTTATCTCCTTCTTTGAAGGGATGCCCATGTGTCTACTAGTGATGCAAGGTTCCCCCCTATGCTTTCACGTGGATATGAAAAGGAAATAGAAATGTTAGCTTAGGAGGACTGAGTAGATGAAAATGTTTGTCTACACCTTCAATGAGACCATTGGATTCTTTCCTCATCTGGAAGAGAAAAAGGAAAGGGTAAACATGGGTGGGGTTCTAGGTGTTGCAAGGGCAATAATGCTTCCTGCAAATGGTGCCCCTTGGATGCTCAGAGGCATCTACAAACTGCTCTGGTTCTGCCCACAGAGCCCCACTTAAAACAAGATTTTGATAAACTTCTGGCAAGATGATGGAATGAAAGGTTGTCCAAGAGCTACACAATAACCCCTGCTTTAGTAAAGATAGCAATGCCACCCCAAATAAACAACAAGCGGGTGGAAAGAAAAGAGGGGCAAATAAAGAACCTCTAAAGAGGCTTTCAAATAAAGAAAAAATAAAGGAAAAACATGTACATCGTCGGGAGTGGAGCGGGGAATTCCAACACAAATAAAAAATACTATGGTTTAAAATATACCAAAGAGAATTCACTAAGAGTAGAAGAAAAAAATCAACTTCAACAATGACTCCAGAAATTAATCAAGAAACACATGACCAATGGACAGAATTCTAGACTTGAAATCAGACAGGACCAAATCATACCTTGGACACTCACTAGCTGTATTAAGTTACTTAACCACTCTGAGCCTCAGTTTCCTTATCTTTTAAACTACTAATAACTGTAGCACCTACCATAGAGAGCTATTATGAAACTCAGATGAAATAATATATTATGCAAAGCACTTTGTGAACCTTAAAACATAATATAAATGTCACCTACTATTAATAAAAATAGAACAAGACAAATTGATTATAAAAATTAACAACATACAGAAAATCAATGGAAAATGTGAACAACAGAATGAAATTCATGAGAAATAAAATTCTCAAATTGAAAGGTATACTGTCAGAAGCAATAGAAAACATAGCAAAATGTTCCCGAATCAAAAAAGGATAAGTCACAGAAAGAAAACTGTAGAACAATATCATCAATGAGTATGGATGCAAGAATTTTAAATAAAATGCTGAAAAATGGAAGACTGATATATTTTTAAAATTCATCATGATCAAGTGGAATTTATATCAGAAGTGCAAAAATCATTCAAAATTAGTAAAAGTCGCAAGCAAAGTCTTTTTTCAGTCTCTGACTGGCCACATCTGTATATGAAGGGGCTAGAAATATATTTAAGCAGGTGACAGAGACAATGACTTTGCTTCAGGTTTGGCATTATATCTGTACTGTTTACTACACTTTTATCTACATGAGGGACCGGAAGAGATTTAGAATTTTAAAATAGAGGAACCCTGAACTTTTTGGTACTTACTGAGTGAATAATCATTTAAAGAGCTTGCCTGCCTGGGTCTGAGAATCTTCTGCTGGGGAGATGAGAGGTCTCAGGAGAAAGGATCTTGAGGAAACAAGAAAGAAAAGCCAGAGCAGAAGTTTTTGCTGGTCTTAAGCCAGAATTTCTGCCTTTTCTAAAAGAGTTTTTAAAAAAAACCATGGCAGAGTCTTTTGGATAAGATGGTGACATCTGAAATGTGATCCCAGAAAGAGCAATAATAAAGAAAATTGACAAGAATGAGAAATAAGCTCCTCCACTCAGTCTATACCTGTCCCAAAAGACAATCAGAAACTGGAAAAGACAGGTGGAAGGGTCTTCCCAAGGAAACCAGTCCACGTGTGAACAAACACAGAAGCCAATAGAAGCAGGAAGTGAGATCAAACCAGAGAAGGGAATATGAACTTGAATAAACCAGCTGGAAGCTATAGAGAAGAGAGACTCCAGAGAAGCCAATATAAGCGTAGGTAAATGGCCAGGCTGGTGGCAGTAGGGAAAGAAACCAGGGCAGGGAAGCCAACATGAGCTCCAAAAAACCAACCTGAAACCAGCCAACCAGTACTTTGTGCAGGTAAGGTCATAAGCTCTAATAATCAGGGACCTAAAGCTAGATCCTGAATGTGTCCTATCAGAACAGAAGTAGGGACAGAACTGGACCCCATAGGTCATTTTGCAGGGAAAAAGGGCCCAGCTGAACACTCCTCAGGATACTGGCAGCCACAGTAGGAAATAAGAACACTTCAGAACATTAACTCCAATGCCAGGAGGGCTGTCCAGGAGGTCTAAGATTCGTCTGACTACCACCATCCCACTGGAGCCTGTCAGGGGTACTTCTAATTAGGGATTTTGTAAGAAGATAGAGATTTGCAGGGTCAAAAGAGAGAATAGAATAAGTGGGGGGTAGGAAAGGATGAAGGGAAATATACTTAGTTTTTCACAACAGGACTACTATGGAAGTGTTTTGCATGACTACACATCTATAACCTGTATCAAGATGCTTGCCTTTTCAATGAGGGTGGGTGGGGAGGGAGGAAGGGAGAAAATTTGTAACCCAAAGTTTTGAAAACACATATTAAAAATAAAAAATGAAAAAAAGAAAGTGACTTGAAACAATCTTCTCATCTCCCTACCAGCTACACTGCTTTTAGACGTGTTAGGACTCCCCCATCACTCCCCCCAATAAGTATTCCTCCCACCCCTTTTTAGCTTCCTTTTGTACCTTGTCTTCACCCATTATATTGTAAGTTCCTTGAGGGCAGTGACTATTTTTTTTAAACTAGTATTTATATCCTCAGACCTTAGCACAGTGCCTGGCATATAGTAGACATTTAATAAATATTTATTGATTAACTGAAAAAAATTAAAAATTAAAAATTTTAAAAATTAAAAAAAGAAGATAGAGTCTTGGTAGTAAATTCATTGAAATACAGAATGCAGCAAACAGAACTCAATTACTCAATATGGTACCTAGAAATAGTAAAGTCAAAAGATTGAGAAATAGAAGAAAGTATAAAGTATCTGCTATAAAAAATTGACATTGAAAGAAGATTGAGGAGAGATAATTTAAGAATTATAGTGCTACCTAAAAACCATTACCAAACAGAAAACCTGGATGCCATATTTTAAGAAATTATAAAAGAGAATTGCCCAGATCTATTAGAACCAGAGACCAAAGTGAAAACAGAAAGAATCAGTTGGTCACCTCCCGAAACATCAACAAACTGAAGTTGCCTAGGATTGTTATAGCCAAAATACAGAAGTTTCCAAGTAAAGAAAAAATGCTGTAAGGGAGTGTAAAGAAGCAGTTCAAGTACCAGAGAACTACAGTCAGGATCCCACAAGACCTGGAAAGCAATTACTATAAAGAAGAAAAAAATCTTAGAGTCTGATCCTCCACAAGGCAAAAGGTAAAGACTTAAAGGTAAAAGGTAAAGAATAACTTATCCTGCAAAACTGTAGATCTTTCTACAGGAGGAAAATGGACCTTTGACAGAAGAAATTTTGAAAAATCAAAGATATATAAACAAAGCTGAAAATAAAAAACAAATCATTTAAAAATGAAAGTAGGAGCTGCTTTTTCAGAATAGTTAATAAAATAAATAAACCATTAGCTAATCTGATACAAAAGGAAGGAACACCAAATTGCAAATATCAAAAATGAAGACAAAGAATTTATCCAAAAGAAAAGGACATAAGGGAAACTATTAGAAACCATTTTGCCCAATTAAGCAATAAAACAGAAAAGAAATTCAATAGAATATTTGCAAAGATATAAAATACTGTTAAAGGAGGAAGACAAGATGGAGGAGTAGAGGCAGCAACCCAACTGAACTCCCCCATATTCCCCTTCAAACAACTTTAAAATAATATCTCTATTCAAATTTTGGAGTGGCAGAGCCAACAAAAGGTCAGAGTAAAACATTTTTATAGTTGAAGACAACTTAGGAGGTTGTTGGAGAGGTCTATAACAACAGAGTGGGGGCTGACCTGGAGTGCGTGTGGAGGCAGCACTACACATAGGCCTTGAAGGCAGCTGTAACAGATGAAGCAACAAACAACTTCATGACTCTTAGCCCAGAGATTGTAAAGGGGTTAGACAACTGGTCAGAAAGAGATTATAGGGGACACCTTTGTGGGTACTGGGTGCAGTTGACACTGATTGGCGACTCTATTGCCTATAGGCAATTTTAGGTCATAATTCCAAGGCAGAGAGAAGCAGTAGCACTTATGGCTTCGAGGAAGCAGGGGGCCCTCCCGGGGGATCAGATCACAGACCAGGAGAGAAATAACCACACCTCTCCCCAGATGACAACACCTTGGAAGCACTAAAAATTTTCAGACCCCCCCAGAACTAACTCTGGAAACAGCAACAAGAAAAGCTTAAAGCTTGGGACAGTGCCTCCTCACCCCTAGGTGAGCAGAGCCCAACTTTAATGCAGTTCAGTCAAGAAATAGACTGGAAAAACAAGCAAACAACAACAACAACAACAAAAAGAACTTGACCACAAAAAGCTACTGGTATCAAGGAAAACCAAGATACAAACCCAGTAGAAGACAGCAGTGTGAAAACAGCTAAAAGCAAGGCCTTAAAGAAAAACACTAATTGAACACAAGCCCAACAAGAATTACTGGAACAGTTAAAGAAAGAGATAAGAGTGGTAGAGGAAAAAGTGGGGAAAAAAATAATAGTGATGAATGAAAATTATAAAAAAAGAATTAACAGCTTGGAAAAATAGCACAAAAAATACTGAAGAAAATAACACCTTAAAAATAAGATTTGACAGGGGCGGCTAGGTGGCAAAGTAGATAAAGCACCGGCCCTGGATCCAGGAGGACCTGAGTTCACATCCGCCCTCAGACACATAGCACTTACTAGCTGTGTGACCCTGGGCAAGTCACTTAACCCCCATTGCCCAACCAAAAAAAAAAAAATACAAGATTTGACATAATGGCAAAAGAAGCACAAAAATTCACTGAAGAGGGGGCA